ATGCAGATAATATATTATATGTAAGCTGCTAATTTGTAGCGAAAGCAAATTGATTTTAATAAAGATATGTATGTATGTATAAACATGCGAGTGTGAATTTAACACAAAGCAAAAGCGTTGGCAGCTACTTGAACAAAGGGGAACGCGAAAAATTGAGTGGCGATCTTTACGAATTCTAACATATGATTGGAAATGCAAATATGAAAGTACCGCTGGTGCTTATAACTTTGCGACATTTTTGCTTTGTCGAGAGTCGATATTATGTCTTGGTTCTTATGTATGTATGTCATAAATGTTTCAAACATTTGAAAAAGGCGAGAGGCGCAACGTATGTAATATATATGTAAATAAATATAATATAAAAGTATTTTGAATTGTATATTAGAAAACTTGTAATTTCAATAACTCCTCTAGTGTAAGTCTGGCTAGAAGGATCAGTGATTAGTTCTGATGAAAGCTGAAGTGGTATCCACTACAATGATTAAATAAATAAACACAATTTATAATTAATAATCTGCTTATCCATAGTTTTTGTGGAAACCAATTTAGCGCGATTGTGGTTTTACAAATTGTGCAAAGTTTGTTTTTTCGGAACTGTCCGCACATACTCGTAATACAAACTACAGCGCAGTCTCCAGATGAATCTGATACATAATTTGTGGTCACTTTTAGAACGAAAAATTCAGAAATATTAGATTCGAAAACAAGTCGACTTAAAAAAAAGCCATACAAACAGAATGGAACACAATTGCTCCTTACTACACAAAGAAGTTAGTGGAACCAATGCCCAAACGTATGAAAGCAGCAATAGGCCCTAAGTTTATGCCAATCGGCTGAGAAAAATAAAAGAAGTAATTTTTTTCTTATGTTTACAAACAATTCCACTAACTAATTTTTATTTAATTATTAGTTTCACATTTTGGGTTTTCTCTATAAAGGGTATTGATTGAAGCTCACTGGAGTGTTCAGTTGCCGCGATAAGATACGCCGTGCGCGCGTAGGTGGTTGAATTCTGAGTGTCAAACTATACCCTTTTTTTTAGCTCGAACTACCGCTGCTTAAACAATAGTTCGGCTAACGAGGTAGGGTATACACGGAAAGAAGGATAACCGCGTGAAAGGAGACACGGAAGAATGGGAAACTGGAAGTTGGCACGCACGGCGTTTACATTAAGGTTTTATATTGGGCGCTTAGACACCCTGCCAGCCTTGCAGGGACGCGTTGGACAGTGCGTTCTGCAGTTTTTGTAGGGCGCGGATGGCTTCGCCGATGGCGCCTTTCGCGGTTCGGTTCCTATACCCCTTGGTCTCCAGTCCAATGGATGATTGCGCTGCTGAGCGCGACCTTTGGCTGCCATTGCTGCTTTTTTTATGGCGCGCTGCTGGATGGCACGCTGCTGTGTGGCGCGCTGCTCTATTGCGCGCTGCTGTGTGGCGCGATGATGTGGTTGCTTCTTCGTCTTGGTTGTTTGTTTTAGGGACTAGCCCGTTAGCTTGCGGCTCGGACGGTTGCACCATTGTATGATGTGCTTTTTTTCATGGCCTGCAGCTCCCGAGCGAGGCACACTCTTCAGTGACGTGGGTAAGAGACAGACACTGCGATGCGCTGAGAGGGGCAGATTACTCGGAACGCGGGGCGATTGCGCAAAGCGTGATAGCGGTGGCACAGCCGACACTGGAGGCATTTCTTGGTATCTGCATTCGGTGCTAGCAGAACTGCACTTCGCGTTGCCATTGTTGTCCTTCGCCTGAAATTGAAATACGGAACAAGCGGTAGTTGACATTACGACATTAAGCGTATGTTATTAAGAGCGAGATTTTCTTTATATTGTTGTGCTTCAAGCGGAGGTTGCTCATTTGGAATGAAGCACAGTTTTACTATGGGCCGCGTGATAATCCCGATTTGCGTGTGGAGGCTCACGACACGGATGTGATTAATAGGCCCACGGAGAACATTTTCGGTTTGTCCGAGACGCCACTCTGCCGGCAGTAAACCGTCGTCTCGGATTACGGCGCAGTCGCCAACTTGGGGCTCCTTCTGTGTAGATTTCCACTTGTACCTCTTTTGGAGATCTTTAAGGTACCCCTCTTTCCAGCGGCGGCTGAATTGATGGTGAAGCATGTTACGTCACTGCTTTTTGGTGTAAGGTCGGTTGGAGTTTTAGCATGCTTGCATCCCAGGCTTGCTCGTCGTTGGGTGGATTTTTCTTCCAACCTCCTTACTTCCAGTTGACATAAGCAAACTTCTACTTTCATGCCACGTGATGAAAGACTAGGGTATACGATTATATAGAAAAAGACAATAAATAAAAGAAGGTATCTGTCCATTCGTCCGAGTCAGGTGGAGTCGGCCCACCCCATCTACATATTCACTGATGTAGCCATGGACTTTACCGTGACTCCTATTATTGGTAAGGTCCCCTAACCTGAATGTTGTCAGTTTGTCTAGCGTCTGTCCTTCATTTAGTCGTACGTATAATGTCTGGTTTTACGTTTGTTCGTATTGTTCAGTCATCAGTCGCCATCCATTTTCACCTTGTTGCACCAGTGCAACACCCACACCAACCAAATCAATTACTCCTGGTATCAGGCATGGTATCTTTCAGGAATTCAATAACGTTGTATATTTTTAAGCATAAAGATAAATTGACAATATGTCTAATAATTAATAATATAAATAGATTATTCTTTTACACAAAAAAGATAAAAAAATCCTATTTACTCAAATGCAAATAATTATTATTCAGAAAAATAAATATAGTAACATGTAGTATGTGCGTTTTGTTTTCTTTTTCTATATGTATATCTATTACGTATATATATATATAAATATATATATATGTACATACGAAAAATTCAATATACGCCACTAGCCTCCGCTGCGTTCCCTTGTGGCGAGTAAATTCCGGTTCTAATATGTTTTGTTCCATATTTTTCTAAAAAGTTGGCGAATATTTTAGAGACAAACTGCTTGCCATTATCTGAATGCACGTATTCAGGTACACCAAATATGAGAAATATTTCTTTTTCTAAAAATTTTACTACTTCTGCTGAAGTGGCTCTTTTCGTTGGTTTTAAAAACACAAACTTTGTAAAATGATCAAGACAAATAAGAACAAAAGCATTACCGTCACTAGTACGAGGATACGAACCCATTAAACGTTGGAAAGGTCGTTCTGTTGTGTGCTGGCTTTTCATCAGGGGATTTTTGAAGGCATTTGTTGTTTTATTTTCTTTGCATGTATCACAGTTTTTAAGGGCTGTTTGTACATCAGTCACCATTCCTGGCCAGTAATATTTTTCACGTAGGCGTGTAAGGGTTTTATGGATGCCACCGTGACCGGCTGACGTTTATCCATGGGCACCTTCCACTAGGCCTTGTCGTAACTCCGACGGTACCCAAAGTTTCCAGGTCTGGTCCCATTGAAGTTCATTCCCTCTGTCGAATTGGGTCCATTTATAAATATAACCGTCCGAAAGGCACATGTCCAGTAATTTGTCTTTATTTTCTGTTACAGTTTTTCTCAATTCAATGTATTCGTCAGAGTCAAAGTATGGTGATTCCAAGCATACATCCAACCGTCTGTCATTTAGCATCATCTCTTCCATATGCATCCGTGAGAGAGTGTCGGGCACAATGTTTTGCGCGCCTTTGCGATGCTGTATATCGAAGTTGTATGCTTGTAGCTTAAGGCTCCATCTTGCGAGTCTTCCTGAGAGATCCTTCTGGTTCATGAGCCATTTCAGACTAGCATGGTCTGTAATAATAGTGAAAGGCATACCTTCGACATACGGTCTGAATCTTTTAACGCTTACGACCGCTGCATATCATTCGAGCTCCGTAATGCTGTAATTTCTTTGCGCTTTGTTCATCTTTGCTGAGATGTACGCTATTGGTCATGCGTTGTTGTCATCGTCAAGTTGAAATAATACCCCACCCACTCCGTCCGTTGATGCGTCACATTGTATGTAGAAACGTCTGTTAAAATCTGGGTGTGTGAGTACGGGTGCCGAAATGAGACTTTGTTTCAGTTTCTAGAAGGATTTCTTGGCTAAGTCCGTCATGACAAACCTTTTAATTTTGTCCTTAGTGAGGCTGCAATAGTCGCGTAGTCCTGGACAAATCTGCGGTACCAGCCTGACATACCTAGGAATCATTGCAGTTGTTTTGGAGTTTTGGGCTCCGGGAAATCCCTAACTGCAATAACCTTGTTTTCATCAGTGCGGATGCAACCATCTCCTACTACATAGCCAAGATACTGGACTTCTAACAACAGAACTTGCTTTTTTCTACGTTGATGGTCAGTTTTGCGTCACGTTAACATAGAGCGACCTTTTCCAACAAACAAACATTCGAAATCAACAGAACACACTAACGGATCATTTAAAAACAAAAATACATTTTCTCTTAACGACGCAGGTTTCACTTTATCCATCAGTCTGCACATTATTTGAGCCGTGTTGCATAAACCGAATGGCATGACTGTGAAATGGTAAAGCGGCCTGCCTGGGACTGCAAACGCTGTCTTTTCCCTGGATTTCTTTTCTAGTGGGATTTGCCAGAATGCGTCCTTTAAGTCAATCGCCGAAATGTATCGGGTATTTTTGAGGCGACTCAAGATACCGTCTACATGCGGTAATGGATACACATCTTTAATCGTCCTTTCATTAACTTTTCTGGCATCAAGACAGAGACGGTTCTTTGTACCTTTTATTACTAAAGATACTGGCGAACTCCAACTACTATTACTTTCCCCTATGACTCCCATATCTAACATCCTGTCTAGTTCCTGATAAACAAGTTTTTGAATTGCAGGCGATATCAGATAGTGGCGTTGTTTCACTGGGATATTCTCATTTTCTACGTCGATTATATGTTCTTCAACATCTGTGTGACCTAACCCTAACACTGCAAATGAAAGAAACTGTGCTTTCACTTTCTCCAATGCAACATTTTCTTCATGTGTCAGGGTGTGTTGCTTCGGGTCAAAGGCTAGGTCGCCTTCAGCTGGTGCGAGCTCTGAAACGACAGTATTAGCGGGTCCTGCTCCCCTACTGAAAACTGCCATATTAAATTCTTTCCAAAAGTCTATGCCTAAATATACCTCCTGTTGTAATCCTGGCTCTATAAGAAACTCAAGTTCCCGTGTCAGACCATCCCACAAGACTGGCAAGCTTATGACTCATGTTACTGGAGTTACTCCCCCGTTCGCTGTTCTTTTACTTTAATTTTTTACTGGGACTACCTTGCTTTCATTATTTTGCAAAAATTTCTCTGCGTTCTTCCCTAAGCAACATGCTTCTGCGCCAGAATCTAATAGTGCGATAACTTCTATCCTTCCTACCTTCGTTATCCCCCTTAATGGTGACTATCGTCGATACTTTTTTATTGCGTATTCTTCTAAGCGTCTTAGCCTTTTCCCTCATTCTTTGAATCTTGGTAAGGTTTCTAGTTTTTGAATTTGGCGTATTTTTGCCAAAAATTCTCTTACGTGCTATTTCATACTCTAATTTGCGTTGATGCAAGCTTTTTATTTGAGGCTTATCTCCTAATACCTCTTTGGATGCTTCATTATCTTTTATTTTTAGTATTTTAATGGCGGGTTTGATTCCGGGGTTTTCGGCATCTGGCTGGAGTTCCCGGTGATTCCCGCCAGCCTTCCGTTTCCCGTTGCAGGTTTAAAAACGCAGAATGATGCATCGTCGCCGCATGCGAGACACATCATATTATGGAATGAGGACTTGCAACAACTGTCTTTTGAGGCCTCATTTGGGTTCTTAACATAAAAATCTACGGGCATACCACATTTAAAACACAACATAAGATGAAATGGGGACGGGCAAAACGATTTGATGGTGCATTGAGCGCTACTAGTACGTGAAATTGCGGCACTGTTTTGACTAATATCCGGTCTATTTACAACATTGGTAGTTTGTTTGTACGGCACTTTGTTCTTCATCGAGTTGCTTATCGCTTCGACTTGCGTTGCTTCTGCTGGCTCATCAAACAGCTGACAATTCGGAAAAGCCAATTCGTTTACAGTCTTGGCCCTGTTTCGGTTTTCCTTGATGACCTTTTCCGCGCGTCTACATTCAGCCTTCAACTCAGCGAGAGTTTTGATCTGTGAGGAGAATATTAAATTAGCCAGGTACGGTTTCAAGTTTCCCCTCAGAATGCCTACTAATTCCACGTCTTTTTCCGCAGCCTAAACGTCAGATCATGGACTTCCGCATAAAACTCGTCAAACCCTTCTTGTGGTGACTGATCCATCTTTCTGACTCTGGTGCACCTTCTCTTATCTGTTGTTGTACGGTCGGAGTGGTGTTTGCCCTTGCTCGATTGTGTTATGCCTCATTACTGTGTCCTGGATTTTCCGGCGTAGATGCTACTGCGGAACGATGACTCAGGGCTTGTGCTGATGCTTCCATGTCGGTGACTCTGTTGCTGAGATCAGACATGTTGCTCCTCATGTTCCTGACTTCATTAACGCAAGTCGCCATCAGAGCTTGTTGTTGCATCATCATTGCCATCAACTGGCTCAGTTGGTCAACATTAGGTGCGGTGGAAGCAGGTTCACTACCTGGAGCCTTCTGGCGCTCAGCAGCACTTCTCCGCACACTCGTTCCTTGGTCATCGTGCCCTGAAGCATCTCGTTGTTCCTCGTCAGACATCTCCCACAAATTCTTTAATTTCCGCTCAAAACTATTAATACAGCTTTCCTCGCTCTGTTGTACCTGATCGTTCGAATTACTAGGGTTGTTTACTGAACCTAGCGACCGGAAGATGCGTGCAGAGCACCGGTTAAAATAATCTATCGGAACGAAGTCAGCCGGATGTGGTATCCCTGTATCTATTTGCGTAAATAGGAATCCAACTATTTGATTTTCTAATGCCCTAGTTACACTACGCGTTATTGGCCTATCTGAATTAAATAGCCTCAATCCACCAGCAGGATTCTCACACTCTCTATCCATAAACTCACACACACTCGAGAAAAGTTTACATCTACTTTTCAACAAGATATATAATCGCTACAACTAATCGAATTCCCAATTTTAATTTTACTGGAAACCTATTGTGAGCTCTATTCTAAAAATTTTTTTTGGAATTACTAAACACTTCTATTACATATAATATTCAAATTTAAATTCAAAACAAATCCAGTGGTACCTACTTGTAATATAAGTATATAGTAACTTAATGTATCTAAGAAAAAAATGCTTAATTGAAATGAGGTTTAACTTAACTTTTAACTGTTTATGATGTTTTTTTTTTGTATGAGTACACGTATGTATTCAAATCAAATTCACTTCTATTACAAACGTGTACAAGTATGCTAGTTAACTATTACCATATATTTGTGTAAAAAAGGTGAAATGTAACTGAATGTAATTTCAATTTCAATTATTGCATCTAGAAAAGTTGTGCTTATGTTTATATTGAATATTCAACTTCAAATTCAAATTCAACTTGCAATGTCTGAAAGTATGCCCGTATAGGATTACGCATACACTAGTAAAAAAAAAAAATGGAGTAAAAAAGATAAAAGAAAATTGATATATAAAATAAAGATTAGTAAATAAGCTCACTACTATAATTCAGATTTAGGGAATATTTTCATAATCACGCATGTATTTATTTTTTGTATATATTTATTAGTATATATACATATTTATTTTTAATATTTTTATATGAATAGTAAGAAGCGTACCCCGACCTTGTCTCGTCAGTCGAGCACTTATCGGGTCCGTTAAACAGAAGCGATGTTGCCGTCCTAACCCTAAGCTGTCCGTGAAGAAAGAATGATAGAAGAAAGATAGAATACAGAATAGATCGATTAGAAGTAACTAGATTGAACAAGTACGGAAAAATGATATAAAGAACAAATGAAAAATCGGGCAATTATTACAAATTTAAGACCATATTATAGGCATTTCTCCCTGTTGTAGATTACTATGTCGGTGGGTATCATTATTGCAAATGAGTGATCCAAAGATAAAGCTATCTGTAGCATATGATTCATTCCGTCCGTTGGGCGCCATTGTTACGTCACTGATTTTTGGTGTAAGGTCGGTTGGAGTTGTAGCATGCTTGCATCCCAGGCTTGCTCGTCGTTGGGTGGATTTTTCTTCCAACCTCCTTACTNTACAGAATAGATCGATTAGAAGTAACTAGATTGAACAAGTACGGAAAAATGATATAAAGAACAAATGATAAATCGGGCAATTATTACAAATTTAAGACCATATTATAGGCATTTCTCCCTGTTGTAGACTACTACGTAGCTTTCGGTGGGTATCATTATTGCAAATGAGTGATCCAAAGATAAAGCTATCTGTAGCATATGATTCATTTCGTCCGTTAGGCGCCATTGTTACGTCACTGATTTTTGTAAGGTCGGTTGGAGTTGTGGCATGCTTGCATCCCAGGCTAGCTCGTCGTTGGGTGGATTTTTCTTCCAACCTCCTTACTTCAAGTTGACATAAGCAAACTCCTACTTTCATGCCACGTGATGAAAGACTAGGGTAAACGATTACCAAATTCACAGATGTAGCCATGGACTTTACCGTGACTCCTATTCTTGGTAAGGTCCCCTAACCTGAATGTTATCAGTTTGTCTATCGTCTGTCCCTCATTTGGTCGTACGTATAATGTCTGGTTTTACGTTTGTTCGTATTGTTCAGTCGTCAGTCGCCATCCATTTTCACCTTGTTGCACCAGTGCAACACCCACACCAACCAAATCAATTACTCCTGCATGGTATTATTCAGGGATTCAATAACATTGTATATTTTTAAGCATAAAGATAAATTGACAATATGTCTAATAATTAATAATATAAATAGATTGTTCTTTTACACAAAAAAGATACAAAAATCCTATTTACTCAAATGCAAATAATAATTATTCAGAAAAATAAATATAGTAACATGTAGTATGTGCGTTTTGTTTTCTTTTTCTATATGTATATCTATTACGTATATAAATATATAAATATATATATACATGTATATATATATATATATATATATATGTACAAACGAAAAATTCAATTCACTAGCCTTTTTTTCTTAGCCACTACTGTGCCTATTTTAAAAATCTCTCTATTACCTTCAATTTGCACTTACTGGTCTCGCTTGATGAAGGCGCCAGCATAAAGGAGATGATGTGCTGAAAAAGGGGAAAAGAACAAACAAGAACAAGTGTACTGACCGAACACCTGTCAAAGGTATATTCGGCGATGACAGCTGATCTCTTATTCAATATTATGGAGCAGTGGCAGGAATCAAAAAGAGCTCGGCGAGATTACGATTTTTAATATGCAAATAAACTAAAAGTTAAACTAATTTAAATTGATTTGAAAAAAAGTGAAAGAAAAAAAATTGAATGAGTTAACTAATCATGACGTTAAAACTTATAACAATTTTTAGTTTTGACTAAATAAAACAAAAGATCGTGCGCGATAAAAGTAAAACCACTATAAAAAGTTTAGATATCTTCGAACATCGGTCTTCCTGGCTTCTGGGTGACGCCTTCATCCACATAAAATGGTTGCGCAGGTAATTAAAGTTTTCTTAAATGAAATGATACAGTGGCACATGTGTCCCACGGAAACATTCGGAATTCCCCGCATTAATGTGGTGGATTTCTTCCCCTTCTGTCTATGGTGGCTAAGACTTCCACTATGTAAAGGTGCTGATTGCTCTTGATTCAGCTCTCGCTCGCTGAATAAGCATGTTTATCTTTTCATGTACTATATATTGTATTTCTCTTCCAGCCGTTCCGCGGGTTCACTGGCCTTTATACATATGGTGACTTGTCTTCAGTAAATAATATGCTGCTTCGCCAGATTGATGATGCCTCTATGGGTATTATGGGATTTTAGCCCCACGGGTGGTTCTGCCACTTATATCAGTTTGGTGGCCGGAATTAATGTTTTTAACTGTATCCCTCACGGTATTTTCTGGGTATACGGTGAACCGGTTTCTTGTATTTGTATTTTTGGTTGCTAAGGGAACTCGCGCACCACACTTCTTTAGTTTTTCACAATTTTTTTCCTATTAAAACTGATCTCGGCTAGTCTACTGTTGCCACCCAGGCGTATTGTGTGTGAAACTTTTCTCGAGCTTTCACTCAGAACACATATACAAACACACATTTCCTACTCACAGAGAGCTTTCTTTTAGGCACATTCACACGCATACATACATACATACATAAGAACTTTCACATCATTACTAGAACTCACAGTGGGCCTGTTTATGCAAATGAGTAGTAAATAGTGTAATAGTATTGGAAAGCACTCGTTATTTATTATTTATTATTCCGCATTTGGCTCGAGAATGACTAATAGCGGAGCGCTTGGAATGAAATGCTGTGAAGTCAGCTAAATGGCCGAGAATTGAGTACAGCCTCTATTCGAATTAAGAGTGTTGTGAACTCTTCAAAAGTGAGTTTTAAAACTCTTTACTGCGGATTCCCACAGGCTGCCCATATGTGGGGCGCTGGGTGGTGTATATTGCCAATTGATGCCTTGGGGAGCATACTTCTGGGTAGTGTCTGCTGAATATTCGTTAAGGAATTTGACGAATTTGCGTTCACTTGCTCTCTGTGCTCTATTGAACGTTTTTCCATGATCGCTCATCATTTTGGCGGGATATCCTCGCCTGCCCACAAATCGGGCGAATGCTGCTCTAAATACCTCAACGGTAAGATCAGAGCATAACTCAAGAGGTACTGCCTTCGTCGCGAAACAAACGAATACGGCAACGTACCTTTTGATGAGCGTAGTGGATCTCAAAACTGAGGCCTTTATCAAAAACGCTCCTGCGAAGTCCACTCCAGTTACAGAAAATGGTAGGGGCATTGTACACTATTCAGGGGGTAGGGCGACCATTAGCTGGAAGCGCGTCTGTTGCTTGTTTAATGCGCATTTTTTTATTCTTGCCTGACTATTTGAAGCATGAGGCGCGTCTATGCATAGAGAAGCAGTGCGTGTAAAAACTTCAAATGTAATTTACAAAATCTTGATGCATTTTGATGATGATTGGGTGCCGCTCATTATAGCTGAGTGTGGCATGCGAAAGTCTGCCATTGACGTGGAGAAGTCCATTTTAATCCAGAAATGGATTCAGGTTGAGGAGTGAGCTTTTTTTGTCCATTGGCTTTTTCTTTTGCAACGCATCTTTTTCGCCAGGAAAATAGCGAGATAACGATACCTCAATTAGACGCTGCTTTGCGAACTGGCATTCAGCATGAGTTAGATGTGGCATGGAAGTTATTGGTTGCATTTTTGACTTATTCTGGACATTGTTCATGAAACGGATTATATACGCAGTCACGCGGATTGCTCGAGGGAGTGAAGAGAATCGATCGAGAAAATCGGGAGCGTTTAAACACGTATGTCTTCCATGTGCACGGTGGTTTTCCGAGCCATGCCAGTACTATTTTAGAGTCTGACCATAAAAATGTGTTGCACGCTTCTAAGCCTAGCAGGTTTTGGACAGTTGCAGTCAGTTTTGCTAACAGTACTGCTTCGCACAGCTCTAAGCGAGGAAGGCTTATCGTTTTCAAAGGTGCAACTTTGCTTTTAGCAACCAGTAGGGTGGATGTTGCATTAGTATTCGCTTCTGTGTATACATACGTATATATGGTGGCTTTTACCGAGGCATCGCAAAACCCATGGATTTGGGTATCCTGCTTCGGAGCAAAATTTAGCCATCGAGGAATTTCGATGTCGAAGATGGCTGGCAAGTTTTGAGTAAACTGGTGCCATTTTACCATTGTAGTGGGTTTTGTGCATTCATCCCAATCAATGCCATCGAGCTAAAGTTCTTGAAGTAGAATCTTTGCTCGTATCAAAACTGGCGATAGCCATCCTGCCGGGTCAAAAAGTTTTGCGACCGACGACAGAATTTGCCGTTTTGTTGCAGCTGTAGTTGCTGAAATTGGCAGGGTGGTGTATGAGAACCTGTCCGTTAATGCGTCCTATCGGATACCGAAAGTTTTGGTTGTGGAAGCATCTTCGAATTTCAAGAAATGGGAGTCGACAAGGTCTTTCTCGGGAATTTTTCCAATACGGCTGACTTTATTCTTCTGAAGCGTAGATACCATGCTAAGGAATTGCTGGAATGCCGCAGACCGGGAGTGGCCTAGGGTGAGTTTTTCTGGAAAAGTTTCCTTAAATGGAAGCGTGACAATGCAGCGACCGCTTGAAATACGGGTCGTTGTTGCAACATAATAATCTTCACATGCCTGATTTTCAGTCGTACTTTGTGGAGGTATATGGATTTCCTCCAGTTCCCAGTTGTGCACTGAGCATTTCATTGGAAACTCGTTCTATTTGAGTGGAAAATGAGGGTATAGTTTTTGAGCACGAGAGAGCTTCGGGCGGTTAATGTACACGGCTGTGAACATGTCACGGAAAGCCGGCCATTCTTCATAACCCCCATAGAAGGACTCAATGTCGCAAGGAGGAACCTGTAAAAAGGCATTGGAAGCTTTTGATTGCTCTGAAGTGAGTTCCACACGGGATGGTGGACTGGGAGCATCGACTAGTCTGAGCATTTTTGGTGGTCCGACATCTTGATTTGGGTAATTTCGTAGATGTCAAGACATGCGTCATACTTGCCTTGAGCTGACTCTTTGAACTTGTCAGGCAGGCTGTCATCCGTTTTGGAAAAGACGTTATCACAGCAGCTTCCAGTCGTACAAAATAGTAGTTTAGACTTTTCTGTTTGACTTCGAGATACGATTCAGTATGATCTTCAATTGGCGAATTACCAAATCTTGCACAGTATCTCATTATGCTGTCACTTTCTGTTATAAACTGTTTCTTGCTCTAGATTTTTTTTTTGAAAAAAATTTATAACCCTCGGAAATTTATAAACTCGGAAAATGAATTTAGTATATGAGCATGTCTGTTTTTTTTTTTTTTTTTTTTTTTGTCGAAAATGATTGACTGGATATAATTCTAAACTTAACTTATAGAAAATAGTTAAGCTATTGTTTTGAAATAAACAAAGTATAAAAACCGAAAGTAAAACAAAAAAAAATTTAATAAATTTAAAATAAAAAAAAGAAATCACACACACTTACACTTATGTATATACATGTATATAAATATTCGTTTGGAAATATATGTGGAAAAATTATATATAAGTTCGATAAAATAAAATAAAGTAGATTATTATTTATTAAATATGTATATGTATGTAAACATGCAATAATTTTTTTTTATATGTCGAGATGGCAAGATATTAGTAAATTTATCTTGTACCTTTAGGGTTATTTATGCACCCACTCGTTTATATATGTTTATGTGTGCTAAATGTGTAAGCAAGATGCACCAGCTGTTTTGGTACAGCTCATATGAGAATAAAAATGTATTCTTTACTTTCCTTTTTTGTTTATGTGTGCCCGCTTCTTATATGGCAGGGGGCTTCTGAAGTGGATTTCCAGGTGCCAGGTGCTGATGTGTTTTCTGTTTCCTCCTGGGTTGCTGTTGTTTGGCAGATTTTGTGGCCAAAACTTTTGATAGAAATAATTTTTTTTTTTTTTTATTTATTGTTTTTCTTTTTCTCTTTTCACTTTTTTTTATATAAGTGTTAATATCGCACTTTTGGAGTTTTTTTTTTGATAAATGTGTGTGTGCACTTATATTTGTATGTATGAATGTATTTTTGATTTCCCCTTTCCGGGTTATTTTTTTATTTTTTTTATATATATTTTCGTATGTGTTTCGTATATATTTTGTAAATTTTATTTTATTTTTGTTTGGATTTGTGTGTGTACTTCGGTATGTGTGTATGTATGTGGATTTCGCAGTTTATTATTTTAAAACATTTAGATTTTTTTTTTTAAGCGATCGCACGGGGGAGCGACGGTTGTGGACTGTATTTCTGGTTGTTCAATTTTGGCCTTGAAGGACCATATTTAACTTGTCCTAAGTTTGATGCCAATCGGCTGAGAAAAATAATAAAAAAAATATTTTTTTTTTATGTGTAGCCTAATTAATTTTTATTTAATTATTAGTTTCACAATTTGGGTTTTTTCTAATAAGAGAATTGAGTGAAGCTCACTGGAGTGTTCATCCAACCCATCGTTATGGGTTTAATGTTGGGCGCTTAGACGCCTATGAAATATTAATTAACATGAAATTTAAGTTTTATTCTTAAAAAATGAATCTTTTTAAATTTTTTGTTACTGTATGCAATTCGCTGTGAGGTACAATTTAGTAGTGAAGCTTGTTTGTGTTGTGAATTACATAAAATAAATACAAAATATAACATTTGTAAAGCATTAATTAAATGTGTAAATCGGCGGCGATTAACTGGAGGTCTTTATGAAAATTAATTTAAATTTTTGATAAAACTTTTTATGCTATTTCTGAGATAGCTGCATCACTTTGGCATCACGTAGCAGTTCGTTAGTTCCTTCATTCGTTCCACAAACCCGAATGGATACTTGCCGCCGTCGTACAGGAATCCCCAATTTCGCACGCGGACCAGGATACCCGCGAGTGAGGGCGTCGTCAATGTAGGCACTGGCTCATCCTACAGAAAAGTATATCGTCGTACCTTCTCGGTAAGGCCGGTTGTATATTTTGTCTTAGTGTAATCGGCTCCAATGTTACAGCTCGCGAAACACTTTCGCAGTTCATCAACTGTTCCAGATTCGTCGAATCGGAACCCTGCGGCGTATCTCAACAAATTTTCTCGGTTGAGGTAATAAATCCAAGTCACTTTACCCATGTCTCAAAGTATATTTCCTCTTTAATATTTTATTTATGGTTGATAATTCGAACATAGAGTCGTATGTTCTTGTGTTAATATGTAGAAACTATTATTTTCCAGGAGTGTATCAGGGATTGATCTGGTTTCTTTAAGCGAAGTGGATCTGATCTGTTCGTAAAATTTGAGACTTTGATTAAGCATTAAAACGTACTAAACGAAGAAAAAAAAATGTTATTAATTATTAGCATTCATAAGACATGCAGCTCAGCCAAGAAAGAGGATGCTATGCTATAGCCACTTTACCAAGGAAGGAGGAAAGTAAAAAATCTAAAAACAAATATTTCTTCCAAACAAAAAATTGCAGTGTAATAGTGTGTATTCAAGCTTCTGGGTAAGCAAATACAGTTGAATGGCTATACTGGACACAAGACATCCATGTCACGCGCACTGCAAACGTTGCCAACATTTGTGCAAGATTCGGTAACCAAGCCGTGTTGGTCATGGCTAAAAGAGAGGAAGCTTTAGTGCGACTCCAGCTTATTTGGTTAAAGGATCCGCTGAGGTCTAATAGCAGCATCTGGTCAAGAGAGGTGCGGCTGCGAGCGTGCGACGGCCTTGAAGCAAGAAGTTTGTTATATAGATATGTACAATCATAATTGCTTCGTGAGGTTGTGCACTGGACTTGAAACCCAAATCGTTCAAACCAGCTGAAACCCAATGAAAAAGTTTAACACGTCACGGATGAGATTTACCCCTTCTGATGATGACCCAGACACCTCTTCGTCGATTTTGAGCAGCCCTCAACAGCTCAAAAGGGAACTGTCTTTATGCCGCTATGTGTGAATTAGGTATCCCCGCGAAACTTATACGCCTATGTAAACTGACCTTAAGCAACATGCTTTTTAGTCAGGAAAAGGAAGAACTTCTCCGAGTCTTTCGATACCAAGCGATGTTTCAAACAACAAAAAGAAGAAATGTATAGCAAAAGCGGTGTCCATGTCAGACATGTTTTTCAACAGGTAAGCCAGCTTGTGCTGGAGTTGAAATAGTCGAAATAATAAATGTGTTTGAATTTGGTAACTTAAGTTATATTAGATTAAGTGATAAATACTAAGTAAAACTCCTCGGAGATGACTGGCAGTGAATAGTTCGAGCGCAAACGGTCATGTTCAAAGCTCGGGGAAGCGTCCCAGGGAGCGGCCAAGACCGGATTGACGGCTGGGAAGGTTTTGCTGTGTGTTTAGTGGGATTGGCAGGGATTTATCTTCTACGAACTGTTCCCATATCCCGAACGCCAACAAGTGGACCGCTTGAAGGCAACACTCACTCAGAAGAGGCCATCTTTGATCAACAGAGGCCGAATTGTGAGACGTTGGCTTCAAGAGAAGCTTGTGAAAATTGGCTTTTCAAGTTTTTGCCAATAGAGGCGCAGCCTTCAACGAGAGTGTGATCTCGTTGGAAACAAGCCAACTTAAATCGAGCAAATGTGCACAAAGCTATCATATTTTGAAATATCAATAAAAAAAAACCGGTCGAACTTTTTACTGGATCAATAAGTATAGTATAATACCACTGAGCTGCCTCCGAAGGGCTGATAGTGTTTTACGAGCAGCATGTGTTTCATGTCCGAAATACACTCGGAGGGATGGGAATTCCCTGATAGAAAGTATTCGGAAATTGTCATTTAAACTCCCGCGTTGAATATTTTTCAGCACTTTTTTATTAAGTTTGTAGTGCTGATCTTAATACACTATTCACCGCACAGCAATAAAACTCCATTATTGATATTTCAAATATTTTTTTAAAAAAAAAATACATAAAAGAATAAATTAAGATAGGTTTATAAAAATTTGTTTTATTGAAAATTTTAATAACTACGGCCCATGGTACAAGCTTCTGGTGTTCTGTTTAATGATTCGCCGCTCTCGGAGCTATTTCTGCTATGCTGCTCCACTTCTGCACAGCTGAGCTCCTCATTTACAAAATATGCAGATAATATATTATATGTAAGCTGCTAATTTGTAGCGAAAGCAAANTATAACGCAGGGGCACCATTTGAGAGGGTTGCCATGGACGTGAATCGGTCCATTCCCTATGAGCAAACAAGGAAACAAATACGTTCTTGTGGTTATGGACTACTTCAGTAAATGGCCTCATGTTTACCCAATCCCAAACCAAGAAGCAAAAACAGTTGCGGATGCTTCACTAACAATTGGGTTACCAGATACGGTGCGCCTATAGAATTGCACTCAGATAAGGGAAGAAACTTTGAATCGGCGGTGTTCCAGGAGATGTGCCAAATACTTGATATTCGAAAACCCGCCCTGCAGGGACGCGTTGGACAGTGCGTTCTGCAGTTTTTGTAGGGCGCGGATGGCTTTGCCGGTGGCGCCTTTCGCGGTGCGGTTCCTATACCCCTTGGTCTCCAATCCAATGGATGTATGGGCTACTGACCGCGACCTTTGACTCCCATTTCTGCTTTTTGTATGACGTGCTGTTGGGTGGCGCGCGGTCGTGGGGCACGTGACGATGTGGAGCGTTGTTGTGGTGTGCGCTGCTGGATGGCACGCTGCTGGATGGCGCGCTGCAGTGTGGTGCGCTGCTCTATTGCGCGATGATGTGGTTGCTAGTTCGTTTTGGTCGTTGTTTTAGGGACTAGCCCGCTAGCTTGCGACTCGGTCGGATGCAGCATTGTATGATGTGCTTTTTTTCATCGCCTGCAGCTCCCGAGCGAGGCACACTCTTCAGTGACGTGGGTAAAAACCAGACAATTACTGCAGTAGCCTTGTGCATTGGCCACTGCGGAGCGCTGAGAGGGGCAGATTACTCGGAACGCGGGGCAATTGCGCAAAGTGTGATAGCGGTGGCACAGCCGATACTGGAGGCATTTCTTGGTATTTGCGTTCTGTGCTAGAGGAACCTTCGCGTTGCCATTGTTGTCCTTCGCCTGAAATTGAAATACGGAACAATCGGTAGTTGACATTACGACATTAAGCGTATGTTATTAAGAGCGAGATTTTCTTTTTATTGAATGAAGCACAGTTTTACTCAAGGCTGCGTGATAATCCCGTTTTGCGTGTGGAGGTTCACGACACGGATGTGATAAACAGGCCCACGGAGAACATTTTCGGTTTGTCCGAGACGCCACTCGGCCGGCAGTAAACCGTCGTCTCGGATTACGGCGCAGTCGCCAACTTGGGGCTCCTTCTGTGTAGATTTCCACTTGTACCTCTTTTGGAGATCTTTAAGGTACCCCTCTTTCCAGCGGCGGCTGAATTGATGGTGAAGCATGTTACGTCACTGATTTTTGGTGTAAGGTCGGTTGGAGTTGTAGCATGCTTGCATCCCAGGCTTGCTCGTCGTTGGGTGGATTTTTCTTCCAACCTCCTTACTTCCAGTTGACATAAGCAAACTCCTACTTTCATGCCACGTGATGAAAGACTAGGGTAAACGATTACCAAATTCACAAATGTAGCCATGGACTTTACCGTGACTCCTATTCTTGGTAAGGTCCCCTAACCTGAATGTTGTCAGTTTGTCTATCGTCTGTCCCTCATTTAGTCGTACGTATAATGTCTGGTTTTACGTTTGTTCGTATTGTTCAGTCATCAGTCGCCATCCATTTTCACCTTGTTGCACCAGTGCAACACCCACACCAACCAAATCAATTACTCCTGGTATCAGGCATGGTATCTTTCAGGAATTCAATAACGTTGTATATTTTTAAGCATAAAGATAAATTGACAATATGTCTAATAATTAATAATATAAATAGATTATTCTTTTACACAAAAAAGATACAAAAATCCTATTTACTCAAATGCAAATAATTATTATTCAGAAAAATAAATATAGTAACATGTAGTATGTGCGTTTTGTTTTCTTTTTCTATATGTATATCTATTACGTATATATATAGCTAAAAACTGTATATATATATGTACATACGAAAAATTCAATATACGCCATCACCTTTTTTTCTCAGCCAATACTGTGCCTATTTTTATTGTCTTTTTATATATGAACGAAGTATTTGCAGGACAAATCTGTTAACACGCTCAGCTGCGTTCCCTTGTGGCGAGTAAATTCCGGTTCTAATATGTTTTGTTCCATATTTTTCTAAAAAGTTGGCGAATATTTTAGAGACAAACTGCTTGCCATTATCTGAATGCACGCATTCAGGTACACCGAATATGTGAAATATTTCTTTTTCTAAAAACTTTACTACTTCTGCTGAAGTGGCTCTTTTCATTGGTTTTAAAAACACAAACTTTGTAAAATGATCAAGACAAATAAAAACAAAAGCATTACCGCCACTAGTACGAGGATACGGACCCATGAGATCAATGTAGAAACGTTGTAAAGGTCATCAGGGGATTTTTTAAGGCATTTGTTGTTTTATTTTCTTTGCATGTATCACAGTTTTTAAGGGCTGTTTGTACATCAGTCACCATTCCTGGCCAGTAATATTTTTCACGTAGGCGTGTAAGGATTTTATGGATGCCACCGTGACCGGCTGACGTTTATCCATGGGCACCTTCCACTAGGCCTTGTCGTAACTCCGACGGTATTTGGAATTTGGCGTATTTTTGCCGTATTTTTGCCAAAAATTCTCTTACGTGCTATTTCATACTCTAATTTGCGTTGATGCAAGCTTTTTATTTGAGGCTTATCTCCTAATACCTCTTTGGATGCTTCATTATCTTTTATTTTTAGTATTTTAATGG